TACTCTACTGGGTGGGCCACAATCTGCTGTGCAAATTTTGGCCACGTGACCTTTGCTGACCTCTGTAGGTCAAACGGCTGGGAGTGCCACCGAATGACTTTGACTGTGGATTGGGCATGTCATGGCCTACATTGTGTGCGAGTTTCAGCTTGATTGGAGGTGTCCCGAATCTGGGCTGAATCCGGGCTGCGACGTATTGAGTGTCGTTTATTTGCATATTTTGACCTGCCGAGGTCAAACGGGGTCACATATCGAAAAGCGGTTTTCAAAGAAAGTTACTACGGCCTATGGGCTACCCGATGATGTGCTTTGATTTGGAATTCGGTCAATCCATCTACTCGAAAACTGCTGTGCAAGTGTATTTTCGACATAGCCCACAAATGACCTTAGATCATCGCATGACCTTGAGAGGTCAAATGAGTAGTGGAAAAGTAAGATTAGATGCTGGCGAGTCGATTGGTGCAATTTTTAGCGCTCTAACTCTACTGGGTGGGCCACAATCTGCTGTGCAAATTTTGGCCACGTGACCTTTGCTGACCTCCGTAGGTCAAACGGCTGGGAGTGCCACCGAATGACTTTGACTGTGGATTGGGCATGTCATGGCCTACATTGTGTGCGAGTTTCAGCTTGATCAGAGGTGTCCCAAATCTGGGCTGAATCCGGGCTGAATCTGGGCTGAATATGGGCTGTCTTGATCAACATTCAGGATGGTTGGGGTAGCCAATGGCGCTAGCTGTCACGTCCGTCGCTCTCGGGGCGCGAGCGACGACTGGCGGGTAGCGCCGCGCACAACGCATGCGCGCCGTCGTGCCGTCAGCTGATAGTGCGTGAGCGAGCGTTACCTTTAACAATCATATAACTAGCGTTATCTTATGTTAACTTCTGAGTTCTGTAACGTTTCCCCGCTCCCTTTACCTCAATCTCTCGTTGTCACCGTTGGCTGTTGATCGGCCTCCCATCTCTCGTGGCTGCGTCCTTGAAGTAGGTACATCTACGCCAATTACACCCGATTACTGATTGTGAGACTGCATCGAAGGTGTCCAGTCCGTTCGAATGACCGACCTTGCGACGGGCAGTGCGAGGTTGTAAGCATGCAACACTGCAGCGAGGGTGTCCGACCCGGGCTGGCCGACCCTGCGCCGGGCATTGTGAAATTTACTGATTGTGAGACTGCATCGAAGGTGTCCAGTCTGTTTGAATGACTGACCTTGCGACGGGCTGTGCGAACTTGCAATCGTGCAACACTGCAGCGAGGGTGTCCGGCCCAGGACGAGCCGACCCTGCGCCGGGCAGCGTGAAAAGTACTGATTACGAGACTGCATCGAAGGTGTCCAGTCCGTCCGAATGACTGACCTTGCGACGGGCAGTGCGAGGTGGTAAGCATGCAACACTGCAGCGAGGGTGTCCGGCCCGGGCTGGCCGACCCTGCGCCGGGCAGTGTGAAATTTACTGATTGCGAGACTGCATCGAAGGTGTCCAGTCCGTTCGAATGACCGACCTTGCGACGGGCAGTGCGAGGTTATATGCATGCAACACTGCAGCGAGAGTGTCCGACCCGGGCTGGCCGACCCTGCGCCGGGCAGTTTGAAATGTACTGATTGTGAGACTGCATCGAAGGTGTCCAGTCCGTTCGAATGACCGACCTTGCGACGGGCAGTGTGAGATTGTAAGCATGCAACACTGCAGCGAGAGTGTCCGACCCGGGCTGGCCGACCCTGCGCCGGGCAGTGTGAAATTTACTTATTGCGAGACTGCATCAAAGGTGTCCAGTCCGTTCGAATGACCGACCTTGCGACGAGCAGTGCGAGGTTGTAAGCATGCAACACTGCAGCGAGGGTGTCCGACCCGGGCTGGCCGACCCTGCGCCGGGCAGTGTGAAATTTACTTATTGCGAGACTGCATCGAAGGTGTCCAGTCCGTTCGAATGACTGACCTTGCGACGGGCAGTGCGAGGTGGTAAGCATGCAACACTGCAGCGAGGGTGTCCGACCCGGGCTGGCCGACCCTGCGCCGGGCAGTGTGAAATTTACTGATTGCGAGACTGCATCGAAGGTGTCCAGTCCGTTCGAATGACTGACCTTGCGACGGGCAGTGCGAGGTTGTAAGCATGCAACACTGCAGCGAGGGTGTCCGACCCGGGCTGGCCGACCCTGCGCCGGGCAGTTTGAAATGCACTGATTGCGAGACTGCATCGAAGGTGTCCAGTCCGTTCGAAAGACCGACCTTGCGACGGGCAGTGCGAGGTTGTAAGCATGCAACACTGCAGCGAGGGTGTCCGGCCCGGGCTGGCCGACCCTGCGCCGGGCAGTTTGAAGTATACTGATTGCGAGACTGCATCGAAGGTGTCCAGTCCGTTTGAATGACTGACCTTGCGACGGGCAGTGCGAACTTGCAATCGTGCAACACTGCAGCGAGGGTGTCCGGCCCAGGACGAGCCGACCCTACGCCGGGCAGCGGGAAATGTACTGATTGTGAGACTGCATCGAAGGTGTCCAGTCCGTTCGAATGACCGACCTTGCAACGGGCAGTGCGAGGTTGTAAGCATGCAACACTGCAGCGAGGGTGTCCGGCCCGGGCTGGCCGACCCTGCGCCGGGCAGTTTGAAATGCACTGATTGCGAGACTGCATCGAAGGTGTCCAGTCCGTTTGAATGACTGACCTTGCGACGGGCAGTGCGAGATTGCAAGCATGCAACCCTGCAGCGAGGGTGTCCGGCGCGGGCTGGCCGGCACTGCGTCGGTCATTATGGGGCTGCGGTCATAGCCTAGTTGTGACATTAGGCGCCAGAACATACACAGTAGCATAGACCGAAGTCACAGTAGCGTGCCGCTGAGGCGACTGCGGACCGATGTGTCACTGGCTGTGACTGCGGCGAGTGTCCCGAGCCGTGAATCTCCCCGGTGCACGATACCTGTGAGTGCGGCGATGATGGCGGCGCTGTCCATGGTAAAAACCGGGTAAGGTGTTTCACACGACTCGATTCGACGCTGTCAGGATGGTTGGGGTGGCCAATGGCGCTAGCTGTCACGTCCGTCGCTCTCGGGGCGCGAGCGACGACTGGCGGGTAGCGCCGCGCACAACGCATGCGCGCCGTCGTGCCGTCAGCTGATAGTGCGTGAGCGAGCGTTACCTTTAACAATCATATATTTAACCATTGTTTTGGTTACTTCAAACTCAACCATGTGTCTGTCGACGAGAGACGGTGAGACCTGACCAATTTGGTCTCATCCTACAAAACTGAAGCTCGAAATCAGGCGTTACGTGGACGGCTGTATCTTGTTTCTGCCCCGTTGTTACCACTCCCTCCTGACGTTGCTCGCTGCTCATCATTGCACCTGTGCCCCAGCGCTGCGGTCCCGTGTCTGCTCCCTTACGTCCTGCACCCCAAGACAGCTTTACCCTAGCCCAGGTGCGCCTACCAGCCCTCCCTGCGCGTGGCTGGGACCACGTCAGCGCGGTCGGCGCCGGCGCCGGCGCGGGGGTGTCTGCGACTGCGACTGCCGGCGGCCGGCGCACACCCCAGTCCCGCCTCCAGTCGTCGGCCGTCGGCCGTGCCCCCGTGTAGCTGTCGTCCGGCCCCGGCCGCCCCGCAGTAGCAGCCATGAAGCCCGTCGACAGCCGAACCCGCTTCATCAGCCCCAACTCGACCAGCGAGAGCTTCGCCAGCATGATCGCGGTGAGTTGGTGACTGGTGAGGTTGACAGGCGTGCTCGGATGGTGAGTTAAAAATTTGATCGCGAGCCGCTGTGGGTCGGTGATGATTCACGGCTATTAGGCGTAGCAAAAGTGGTGATCAATGCCTAGTGGATTTGCTATGAGGGCTGAGAGATTTCACGATAAACTGAAAGTGACATGATTCGATTAGATCATGATGTGCGACAAAGGTACCAGACGCTTTGGGGGGGGGGGCGATATTTGGGAATTAGGTCATTATTTAATTTGATAGATATCGTGATTGTACCCTGCCACTGTACCTACTTATGTTTGTAATTAATTGAAATCCTACATAAGTCAATCAGATTAGATCAGTGTATTGCATCGCAGATCGCTAAGCCCGTCACAAACAATCAATTGATCGGCGTTATTATCTCCTTATATTAAGTATAAACAATGTCAATGCATGATTCAGATGCAGTTGCTGCGGCCAAGACCGCTTCAGCAGGAAATAGTTCACTTTCATGAAATTATTTTTTTTTGCAACGATTTATTATTTTTTATGTTCAAAATAATCAGCAAAGAAAATAAAACCTTTTTATAACAAAAGATTTTTTTTCTATATTTTGATATAGGAAGAACTTTTCAGTTTCTGTAAGGCACACGCGATCCAGTATGAAAAGAGCATGGGTCCCGAAAATTCTTCAGAAACAGAGAAATTATCGCAGCCACCGGCATTTGGGCGATCTGCTCGATCTGATAATGTTCCCCTGAATGTCCTAATTGATCAGTACGAGAATTTCTCTAGAGTTCTCGTAGATAATTTCTTTAGTTTCTGAAGAATTTTCGGGACCCATGCTCTTTTCATACTGGATGGAAATTTATGCAAGGCACACATCCTCAACGCAATCGGGACGAGAAATAGAATATCTTTGCCTAGGGTGATCGTTGGGCTGTAAAAGCTCCTGATTTATGCTCGTCTCAGCCCAAGCTACGGAACTGCTATTCCAGTTCAAAACCCATGTTAAAAAGTGAACTATTTCCTTTAACGGCTGGCGTTAGCGGCGAAATTGCAAGTAACCGGCGGCACATTTATCCGCAAATTATTCGGATGTCGACCGTTTCGATTGACGATGCTTATAGTACCTATGCATTATGCATTTTGATATCCCCTCGGGCTCAAGAAGACCTGTGAAGGAACACCTACTTTCAGTAAAGCAGTGTCAAAAACTGTCAAACGACAAACGAGTCATTTTTATAACGCCAGCACCTCTGGCGACCTCCTTGTGGTAAAGCACGAGAGGTAACTAAAAGTTTTGCTCGCTTGGACCGAGGCCAGTTACAATATAATTGTGATTGTCTTTTTCACCTGCACTCACCTATATTTCCAAGTTTACAAGCTTGTCTTGAAACGAGTTAATACCAAAGGTTTCTCATTATTTCACGAACAATTTAGTACGGCTAACGCGTTTCTCTTGAACCAAAGAATCATACAAATGTGCATTAGTGCTCGGAGGTGAACGACGGCTAAATTCAAGATTGAAGTTTTGACACGCATACCTACACATTAAGCCCAACATCATAAACTGCTATTTGGAGCATGAAGACCGGCATTTTAAAGGTTTCGTTGCATGCTCTTACGATTAAATTTACTTTCATATCGATCTAGCTTATTAGGGCTACAGCCCTAACATTTTCTCGCTTCTTTGTTCAAGAGCTAATACCGTGCCATGAATGTGAGCATTTTGACAACCACTGCTTAGTGCTTACCCTGGTGATCAATTTTCACAAATTATAAATTTGCCAAGTAGCCAAACGTTAAGTATACATTTTTTTTACATCGAAGCCGTCCTTCATCACTGTTCCAGTGAATGCCATATTTGACTTCCCAGCGGATGTTCAGGCAAGCTCATGTGTTGCATACCCCCAAAGCAGTTTTATTCAACCCTTTGTATTATATTGATGGATCAATGCTTGGTCGATTGCTGTTTGATTACCCATAGCCACTTATGTTGTCTTTCTTACTGCCTTTGCGCTGTGTTTAGGCTAAATGAGATGCACTGTTCTCAAAAGATACTATTAATTTAGTATAAATCAGAAAAAACTAAGCTGAAATTAGGAAATTAGGACTGAGATGCCGAGCTGTCCATTTTATTTCTCAAAAGTGGAATTTCACGTTTTTGGAATTATTGTTTATGTAATTATCAACAAAATTATTATCAAAAATTATTTTATGTTGCTTTTACCGACGGCTGCACTGCAATGCTTACAGATTAGCTGTAATGCCGACCGTAATCCCTAGTTACAATAGGTACCTAAGCTAAAGCCTATCTGCAGGTACCTACTATTGACTATAAAACAAGGGCCCTCAACTCAGACTGATTAGCAAGTCAAGACGCTGGGTACTCCTACGTCTGACGCAGAACTCCTCAATTCAACTAAATCCGTACCTAAGCCTACCGTAAAGCGCTAACTGCTGCAATGCTAATTAGAAAACTTTGCCTTGAAAGACCTGTGTCCGGTGTCCACATATCGGTAGCACTTGTTCTCGGTTTGTCTGTGAGAGTCTGACGGAGGTGTGTGTTTCCGCAGGATGGCCGCCCCTCGCAGCCGTACGCCGTGGCCGACCCCGACCTCTCCACGCCGTCGGAGGGCGCGTCGGACGGCGTCGGCGGCGACGGCGGCGGCCGCGGCAGCTGGGGCAGCCAGATCGAGTTCATCCTGTCCTGTCTGTCGTACGCGGTCGGCCTCGGTAACATCTGGAGGTTCCCCTATCTGTGTTACCAGAACGGAGGAGGTATTTGTCGCGACGACAGCGAGGCACAGGTGGAGATGGATCATCTGACGCTGTGGGCCCACCTGGTTATCTGGATGTTGGAGCGCAGCGCCTGTCGAGAGCCGCGTAGTGGAGGCGCTTCTGCCCGCTAGCCCGTGCTTCGTTTGGGGACCGCGCCTCCCTTCCATCAGTCACTCACCCACCTATTTTTCTCTCGTTACAGGTGAAACTTCGTCGATTGGTAAGCTAGGGGCTGGCTTGAACCCTGGGTGGGACAGCTCGTTGAAGAGCTGAATTGGGATTTGGCGCTGCGCTCTTTACATACAGACAACCAGAGATAGCCCACAGTAAGACGTTATTAAGCTCAGTTGCGATCATTTATATTGGTACTTGGCTTAAGCTCACGTCGCATGGCCATCTTGTCCTTATTGTAGCGTTAGTATTCTGTCAGATTACTTTGGCTCGGCTTTAGAAGCATTGAATGGTTTCAAAATACAAATGCCTTGAAATTGTTCTGCCGGGCGCGGTACATTTAGTCAGCGCCGTGTACGGGGCGGCGCCGTGGCGGCGGGTCGGCCGTCACACCGAACCTCCCAGCCCGCGCAGGCGATATCAAGGCACTTGTATTGAGTCGCGTAACTGGAGGTCGGATCTGCATCCCGTTGGATGACATACACGGGAGCCTCTGAGCGTGCGGCGGTCGGCGGCCGCGCGGCGCAGCGTTCACTGGGCGGCCCGGGCGCCCCTGCTAACACGGGCGAGCGCGCGGCGCGGCCGCCGACGTAGCCGCACGGTGGGAGGCTCGAGTTCAATTGTTCACAGGCTGACGCTGGGCCCGACAAAAGGCCAGCGTGCCAGAGGGCGAGAAAAGGCCATCGCAACTGCACCAGACGGTTTAATTTCCATCTGTGCCGTGTGAACCGAATCCTCTCCCTCAGTTGCTGCAAATCTCCCAGCCGGGAATTGTGTATCGGCCTGACCGATGATTTGGAAATGAGAATCGCTCAGGGCTATAAATGTCACGATGGTTCTATTCTAGCTTGATTGGTACCCCTTTCAGTCATAAAACTGTTGGATTGACAGCTAATGCCTTGCGTGATTCTCATATTTCATATCAGTTCATATAAACACGACTGATGTTTCAGATAACATTGAGACATCTGGGGAGCAGGTCTCAGTGTGATTCAGCCGCATTACTGAACGCTCGCGTCATCCGGCTTGTTGCGGCTTGCTCGGCAGCTTTACCGCGAGTCGCGGCTTTTTGCTCACCGCTGAGTCTTTTGATTGCCTGGGTCGCTCTCATCACACATAGTTCGCATAGTTTATCCAAGAAGTGTTCAGGTCAGCCGCCGGCATTGCATGGTTGCTATTGCTCACTCGGGGCCGTGCAGACTGTTGGTATACTGTTTGGATCTGATGTGACTGCTCTGCGCCTCGTTACCCCGCACTGACGCCGGTGCCCCGCCCGCAGGCGCCTTCCTGATCCCGTACGCCATCATGCTGATCTTCACGGGCATCCCGCTGTTCTTCTTCGAGCTGTCTCTGGGCCAGTACACCAGCCTGGGACCGGTGGCCGTCTGGAGCGTGTGCCCGCTGTTCCAAGGTGCGCCGACACGCCGCCGTTGCTAGGATACGGCCGCGGCGGCCATCGATCCGTGCCGCCTGCGCAGCATCCGCCGGCGGCCGCCGCTGGCGCCGTCTTCTGGCGGCTCCCCGGGGCCCCGCCGGGCCGGCCGCCCTCAGGGAGGCTGTGGGGGCCCAGGTGCCGTCTGGGTCACCGTGTCTGGGTTCCTCAGCTCCCGGCGCGAGTCGAGCGGCGCGTGGCCGATCCTTTTCCCCGCCGCGGCGGCCGGCCCGCCGGAGACCGATGGTCGCTGCTGTTACTGGCAGACAGTTGGCCCTGGCCCTAATGTAATGCCGCTATAACGGCTGCCGATGGTACGACCGCTAAAGCGGCGGCTAACGACGCCGCGGCATCGACCGGCCGGACCTGGGCGGGGCGGGCGGGAGGCGGGGATCCGGGAGGGGGAGCGGGGAGGCCGGGGATTTCAATGACTCACATGACGGGGTGTGGCGCTTTGGGTCAGATTTTCTCTCACCCATAAGATGCTGTGATTTCTCCCGCATGTTGCCACCCTGCTTGTGCTTGGTTCTGGATATGAGACGAAGGTTCTCCGTCTGACGTGACTTCTGTGTGCTTTCTGCAGGCATCGGATACGCCATGTTCTTCATCTCGCTGTTCATCGGCATTTACTACAACATGATCCTGGCGTGGACCATCTTCTACCTGGCGTCCAGCTTCACTGACAGCCTGCCGTGGAACAGCTGCGACAACTGGTGGAACACCGAAGGTGAGCTCTCTGGGCTGAGCAGCGCCGGGCCTGACGGCAGCTGAGGCACGGGCGTCGGGCCTGAGCCATATGGCGGATCCTGCCGTATGGCCTGTCAATGGAAATGTGATATGGAGACTTGCTTTGGAGCATGTGACTTGCGAGTATATGTCACGTCAGTAGATGTTAGCGGTAGAGTGTTTTTCTTTTTTTTATCGACAATCATCAGTACGGTCTCTCGTCGCCCTGATATCGACGGGGTGGTGTATTTACAAATCACGACTGCAACTTTGGTTGCTACTCCGATTTTCTGCTTACGCTGGCTGATCCAGCCATCAGTATCAACAGTCTGGGGATTATGTGGTCAGTTTTCGCCGGGTAATCCGTCTGGCGCGGCGGCCGGGTCCGCTGGCCGCCCCCTCCCCCGCCCCCGCCCCCGCCCGATCGATCGCCGCCGCCCAGGCGAGGCGGCCGTGCCGAGCCAGGCGCGAAGTGCGAGCCAGACTCCGCCCACGAGGGTGACCTGGGCCGGCTGCCAACTGCCAGTGGCCCCATAGTGCGCCGCCGCTGCCCCATAGCGGCCGGCCCCACCAGCAGACATGACCTCGAAGAAAGTGGTGGGCACGGGGACGGCTTGTGCACGTGTTTGGCCTACATGTATATCAAACAGTCTGCAGGCATCCAACACAACTCTGCGAGGTCTTGTCGGCCAAGGCTACATTTTGTGCACATGTCCGACCTATATTCCACACGGTACAATTGTGCCCGTGTTTGAGCGCTATTCCTCACGATTCAGTTATGTCCGGGCCTGTAGGGCAATATTTTACACGGCAAGTACGATTGTGTGTCCGTGTCTGGGCAATATTTTTATGGGGCAATGTGCCCGTGACTGGCCGATATTATACTCGGTTGCTAAGTTTTGTGTCGTTGATACGGTCAGTATTCCACACGGCATAGTTTGCGCCTTTGCCTGGTCGTATCACAAAGGTACGGTTGCTACGTTTTGAGTCCTCAACGGTATGTTGGCCTAGTCCGAACAGCGGATGGGCGGCTGCAATTAAAACACTGCCGGGAGTGGGTGGATGGTCCCTGACGTAAACCGTGACCGGCTGGTGGGCGGGTTGGTGGGCGAGACATGTCAACGTCCGATAAACTGTGGCATCGTGGGGACTCGGTCGGGCATTTGTTAGGCTGTTCAGTGTTTGGGGGGGGGAAGAGGGGGGCTGATTCATACCGGTCCAGTGGGAATCAAAGAAACGCCGAACGGTATGTCTGTTCCACGCGTTAGCGGTATCGGCGCTCAGCTCAGGCCCGTACGGTGCGCCGCTCGGTATCGCAGCAGCAGTGACCCGGTGCCTTTGTCGCCTGCTCCAGGTGCGTGCCGGAACGCGGGTGAAGGGCGGCGGGGTTTATGACCAAACTTCATGACGCTGCGCATTAAACATCGCTCAACTCTGTTTCTTTCTCTTCAAGGCCAAGTGTCCTTTGACATGAATTGGGCGGATGTATGAAAATGGGAGCTTTTTTACAGCGGCGAACCTTCTCGCTGTGATTGTATATAGTAGGGTTTGTTCCAAAGCAGAGTTCCACTTCAGGACAGAACTTCTGGCTGTCATCTCGTCTCAAGTTGGGGCTCATCGTGATCTTGACTTTTAGCCTCCTATTTCTCGGCTGTTGAACGGCTGAGGGCCCGTCTGAGCCGGCTGCCGGTCACATCCGGTGGTCTGTCCGCTGAAATTCCTGACCCGGAGTCCGACATCGGCCTCTGGGCCGGTGCCAGCGCCAACGCTGCTGAGTGGGCCACCGGCACGGCACAGGGGCGCCCTGGCCTAGACGTCAACGGGGTGGCACGCGCCCAACACGTGCTCAGTGAGGCTCTGAAGGACGCGACCGGTGACACCGACGGGGCACAAAACATCGATCAAGTCATATTTCAATACGGCTAATTTGAGCCGTTCGGAGTTTTCTCTTGTTTTTTTTTTCTCCAAGGATATTTTCAGCAAGTTATCCGTAGCTAGATCAGCGCATCCATAACTGTTACGGCCGAGCTAAGACATCTGCCGGCGCGCAGATGGTGACCCCTGGTTAATGTGTCGGTATTGGCAGCTCGGGTGCTAAACGTCTAAACACTCATCTGAAAGTGCACGAGTGGGGCGCATCAGTGTTTGTCTTGGACCCGCCCGAAAGTCTCGGAAGGGCGACGGAAATAGCTCGAACGCATACCGTTTAACACCCAAACATCCGCCTCTTGTCCTTCGACCGCGGACTACGGAATAGGCGCCGGTAAACGCGGTCAGGTCTGAACAACTATCAGGTCAGGTAAACGGTCATGGGTCTGAAATCAGTCGGTGACACACCAGGGAAATAAGCTAAAATTAGAGCGCTCTATTTATTGCTCCCGCTACTTCACCGTCTCCCATAGGGTCCTGTGTTGAGCTGGTGTCGAGGCTCTAAAAATGACGCCGATTTTTGCACCCTTCTCACGAAAACCGCTCGGACCGCCTGGAAACCAATTGTTCCGCTCTAAAAATTTCATGATCGACGGGAAAATGAATGAGGAAAAGATTGGTCCTGAAATAATTCTGAACTCCCTGTAGAACATATCGAAATATGGCTGCAAACTAGGAGCATGTCAAAATCGACAAAACAATACAAATAAACTTACCGGGATTTTTTTATTTTCCATGCATCTGTGTATGAAATCAGTCGGTTTTTCGGAAAAATCATCTTCTGTTTAATAAATAATTCCACAATTGCAATCGAGAAAAAAAACATTTCCGCTGTGACAGCAGTTTTGGCATTGTGCCAGTAGTGTGGCGTGCGCGGTGCTGCGTGGTCGTCGGGACGGAGTTGTGAGTATTTTCGGTGTTTTAAATGGTTGATGGCCATTTGAACCAGCTTCATATTATTTCCTACAAATTTTTACATCAAATTATTGCTTTGAAAGACCATTGAAACCCCTTATCTCTTCATGAAGCACGATCATATTCATCGTCGACGAAAATGGCGCGGGACTCCATGTGCATTCCGATAGAAATAAATCGTAATTTAAATAATATTCGATGATAATTATCATATTCTAGTGACACATTTTCATAAAATAAGGCATAAACTTTGCAAGGAAGTCAACATTGGATAATTGAATTCTTATTTTTCTCAAATATCCTTGTAGTAGTCAAATGGCTCAATTGTTAGATAGATGTAAGTATATGTTTTGGCTTGATGTTTGCTGTGAAACCACCCAGCCACTTGCTGGTTGAGTGGTTTTCTGATAATTACCTGATAATCATTTCTCCTTTTCCTTAAAAGAAACTAAAATTCCTTTCAAAGTAATCCATTTTAAGGAAAGGCGGCCTGCTCATTGCATTTCATGTTCTTGTTTTGTTATTGCTGGCAGTATTTTGATACAATAATGCAATAGGTATGAATTTTTTGCAATAATAAAACCTAAGACGAACTTAGTTAATGCGTCAATCAAACACCCAACAGAAAGATTGTGAGTCCTTGTGACGTGAAGTAGAATATTCTATGAATGTGTTATAAAGAATATGCCAAATATTAAATTAATTATTATTTGATACCAATAGCTGAGCAGGTGAATTATGCCACAATATAATTTCATTTTCTGGTTTTGAAATAGCCGGCAGTATTTTACTTCAACAAATGTAATATACATGGAATACATGTTGTTATGTTACCTATGTTAAAAGTTTAATAACAGCCAACAGAAGGAGCTGTTTCAGCAGATAATGTTTGTACCTTATGCATTACCTTTCTTTTCTGCAGGACCATGCTTCCGCTGGGTGGTCGACATTTGCCTCCTGAAGAAGTTGAGCAACATGAAGACCACCAGATGAGGTGTCTGCAGTTCATGTGGAACTCTGCAGACTACAAGTGTTATGCCAACCACAACCAAAGTGCTGTGATCATGGAGGTATGAACCTCATGACAACACTTCAGATTTGCAGTTGAACCAAAGTGTGATTCAAACCACCTGTGGCATCTCACTCAATGTGTGAACAGTGTGATTATTGTGCAGTGTTCAGCTGCAACTAAGACATTTATTAGTGACTTGTTTTGCAATTAGCCACCAAAAGCATTTTTTGGGCTGGCTGCTGTAATTTGTTGTGCACTGCGCAATAGTGGTAGTGTTTTGTCACTTGTCAAGTTGTCAGTTGTGCATGTTGCATGTTTCTCTTCCCTCGGCCCTCATTATCAGTTAAGTGGTGAATTGGCATCACTCAGTCTCCCCAGATCTCCATTGACTGTCTGTCAACCACCTAACTTGAGATGGTATTTGCTAATAGTGTCAGAAAAGAAGTGATTGTAGACATTTTTAGGAATATGAGCTCCGTTTCATGCGTGTTCCAGTGGTCATTTTGTCACATGTCCCATAGTGTAATAAATGGAAACTGTTGTTCCCTTTTGAAGGTACTCGCGGATGCAGAAAGCGTTGGGCCTAATTATTAAACGCACCCTCCTATCAGCGACGCACGAAATCGACAAATATCATCCTTTTTAGAACAGGAGAAAACGAAAACTTGTGAACATAGCTGTACCTACAACAGTGCATAAGGAATTGAAATTCTGGGAGTTTTTGAAATTCGGAGAAACTGAAGTTGTCGACAGGTATGCCCCCTGCACGTCAAAGACCGCCTAAAAAACAAACGTCTACAAATGAAGGCAGTATTCGTATGTTCGTTGTAATTGCAGCAGCCTAGCAACATGTATTGCGGTCCGATTGCGAATTACACTCGTGCTCAAAAACTATGCCGGTAATTGCCAATGCACTTAGGTCATAGGTGAGGAGAGGAAGGGTTATGTCATATGTCAACATCATAGAAATGGCTTCATCTGAGCTGTGCCTATTGTAGTTGTACATAATTCAACCAATCTATGCATTTCGTTTCTTGCAATCTACTCATGCTTTCACTCCAGCTTCAGAGTAATCATTCCATATTGTACGTCTTAAGATATTGATTTCTATGGCGGTTTGCAATTACTAGCCACGTCTCACCTCA